AGCTCTTGGGGAATTGTTGGATGGCGTTCCTACACTGAGCACCTCTGAGATGGAGCAGCTTGAAGGGTAGATTGCCCTCCAAGAACCGGATAAGGCTGCAAAGTATTATCTGCATTTTGATTTAGCGTGCTGATCTTGAAGGTGCATTGAAAAATTTGATACTCCGACTGACGCCTCTGTTGTTGTGGAGAAACTCATGCAGCCAGCTATGGCTCTAGGATTTGGTGTTGCATGTTATTTACGTAGTTTATTGTTAAAAAAAATTCGGTCACAGTCAGTCCCTGTGATCGCTGTTACGTTGCAATTATGGCTTTAGTTTTTGGTGATTTCGAAAACGTTTTTTTGGTTTGGACACGTTTTTGTTTATTGTAGTACGGAGTTAGACTGACGGCCTTAATCTTAGTTGCCTTGTGGTTGTTGTTGTTGTTGTTTGACTTTGCATCCCACTGGGATTTATCGCACACAGCACTGGTGGTGTATGGCGCCTTTTTTTCAGGAATATTTTTGCTGGGTTTTATTTTTTGGCATGGAATTTCTGTTTTGCACAGTCACACGCACACACACACAGCAGTCACTTTTTTGCTTGTTGTTGTGGTTGCACCCAATTCAAGAGCCGAACGGCTCACAGGGCTATAACCAAAATAAACTGAAACTGAAACAACTGAAAAAAATAAAACTGCTGCTGGAAAGGCACCAGGGATTGACGGCCTTCCAGCCGAGTGTCTTCAAAGCCTTTCGGGGTGAGCTCGCCCCCCTTCCCTATCGGAAGTGCCAAACGAGAGTCTGCCAAGGGGGGGACGAGTTGCCACAGAGTTGCCAGGAGAAGCCGTGGGGGTTACCCTGTTGCACCACGAGGTGGAGACCCGCACCTCATACTGGAAGTTGTAAACTGAGTATACCAGCCTGCAATAGATTAATGTGTCCGTCCGTCCGTCCCCTTTCAATACTTTAACGAAGTGAAATCTCGTGTGACTGTCATCCTTTGTTTAACCACGTGAGTGACGTCATTGAGAGTCACTCTCTTGTCACCGTCATCCTTTATTTATCCACGTGAGTGACGTCATTGAGAGTCACTCTCTTTGTCACCGGAATCCTTTATACTGGTAGGCACGAAAATTGTGAACTGAGTGTACCAGCCTGCAATAGATTAATGTGTCCGTCCGTCCGTCCGTTCGTCCGTCCGTCCCCTTTCAATACTTTAACGAAGTGAAATCTCGTGTGACTGCCATCCTTTGTTTTAACCACGTGAGTGACGTCATTGAGAGTCACTCTCTTGTCCCTGACATCCTTTATACTGGTAGGCACGAAGATTGTGAACTGAGTGTACCAGCCTGCAATAGATTAATGTGTCCGTCCGTCCGTCCGTTCGTCCGTCCGTCCCCTTTCAATACTTTAACGAAGTGAAATCTCGTGTGACTGTCATCCTTTGTTTAACCACGTGAGTGACGTCATTGAGAGTCACTCTCTTGTCACCGACATCCTTTGTTTAACCACGTGAGTGACGACATTGAGAGTCACTCTCTTGTCACCGACATCCTTTATACTGGTAGGAACCAAGTTGTGAACTGAGTGTACCAGCCTGCAATAGATTAATGTGTCCGTCCGTCCGTCCGTCCGTTCGTCCGTCCGTCCCCTTTCAATACTTTAACGAAGTGAAATCTCGTGTGACTGTCATCCTTTGTTTTAACCACGTGAGTGACGTCATTGAGAGTCACTCTCTTTGTCACCGGAATCCTTTGTTTAACCACGTGAGTGACGTCATTGAGAGTCACTCTCTTGTCACCGCCATCCTTTGTTTAACCACGTGAGTGACGTCATCGAGAGTCACTCTCTCGTCACCGACATCCTTTGTTTAACCACGTGAGTGACGTCATTGAGAGTCACTCTCTTGTCACCGACATCCTTTATACTGGTAGGAACCAAGTTGTGAACTGAGTGTACCAGCCTGCAATAGATTAATGTGTCCGTCCGTCCGTCCGTTCGTCCGTCCGTCCCCTTTCAATACTTTAACGAAGTGAAATCTCGTGTGACTGTCATCCTTTATTTAACCACGTGAGTGACGACATTGAGAGTCACTCTCTTTGTCACCGGCATCCTTTGTTTAACCACGTGACTGACGTCATTGAGAGCCACTCTCTTGTCACCGGCATCCTTTGTTTAACCACGTGCGTGACGTCATTGAGAGTCACTCTCTTGTCACCGGCATCCTTTGTTTAACCACGTGGGTGACGTCATTGAGAGTCACTCTCTTTGTCACCGGCATCCTTTGTTTAACCACGTGAGTGACGTCATTGAGAGTCACTCTCTCGTCACCGACATCCTTTGTTTAACCACGTGAGTGACGACATTGAGAGTCACTCTCTTTGTCACCGGCATCCTTTGTTTAACCACGTGGGTGATGTCATTGAGAGTCACTCTCTTGTCACCGTCATCCTTTGTTTAACCACGTGGGTGACGTCATTGAGAGTCACTCTCTCGTCACCGACATCCTTTGTTTAACCACGTGACTGACGTCATTGAGAGTCACTCTCTTGTCACCGACATCCTTTATACTGGTAGGAACCAAGTTGTGAACTGAGTGTACCAGCCTGCAATAGATTAATGTGTCCGTACGTCCGTCCGTTCGTCCGTCCGTCCGTCCCCTTTCAATACTTTAACGAAGTGAAATCTCGTGCTGTTGAGGGCAAAAAGGGTGGGAAGACGCTCTCGAATTTGCACAAATTTTACGTGACAATTTCGTAAAATCGCGCAAAATTCCAACGTTCCTACCAGCCCCCACCCTGCAGGGACCTGCTTGCGATCTGGCGCCCAGCGTCCGTGCTCTGCGCGTGAGTAATCAGACAGCGCCATCTCCTGCATTATTTTCGGGGGTTACATTCACAGATTTTGCACTAAGCCGTTAAGGAGGAGGGAGGGTGGGTGGGTGGATGGGTTGTTGTGGTAAGGAAACACAAAGCCACGCCCCTTGGTGGCCACAACAACGTCCGCGCTATAGCCCCGCCCCTCAGCGGTGTGTGTGTGGGGTATAAAAGGCGGGGAGAGCCAGGGAGCTCGGGGCAGTGCGTTGGAGCCCAAGGACGAAGAACCGGTGAGGGAGGAAGGCCGGCTAGGATAGACCCTGGGACTTCCCTGTCCGCTGTCGTTGCGAGGGACATTGGCAGGGCAAGCCGGTGATGGTGGGGTGTGCCCGTGATCTGTGCCATGACCGGGGCCAGGTGAGATGGCCTCCCTCTTAGCGCCTGTAGCTGGAGGAATTGGGAGCACAGTGGGGTTAGGATAGATAGCCTAGGGGGTGTCCCAGGGTGAAGGGGCCGTTACCCCTTCCAGTGTGACCCCCGTTGTTACGTTAAATAAACAGTGCTGCCTCTACTCCACGGGCTCAGCGTCCCGTGAACCCGCTACATATGTACTACACACACCACGCACACAGACAAAGCTACCCCCAGGTAGCCTCCGGCAGGGCTGTAGGGCCAAGTGCTGTTAGCTAGCGAGTAGCAGCAGCAGTGTCTATGTACTACACACACCACGCACACAGACAAAGCTACCCCCAGGTAGCCTCTAGCAGGGCTGTAGGGGCAAGTGCTGTTAGTAATACCGAGTAGCAGCAGCAGTGTCTATGTACTACACACACCACGCACACAGACAAGCTACCCCAGGTAGCCTCTAGCAGGGCTGTAGGGGCAAGTGCTGTTAGCTAGCGAGTAGCAGCAGCAGTGTCTATGTACTACACACACCACACACACACAGACAAAGCTACCCCCAGGTAGCCTCTAGCAGGGCTGTAGGGGCAAGTGCTGTTAGCTAGCGAGTAGCAGCAGTGTCTATGTACTACACACACCACGCACACAGACAAAGCTCCCCCCAGGTAGCCTCTAGCAGGGCTGTAGGGCAAGTGCTGTTAGCTAGCGAGTAGCAGCAGCAGTGTCTATGTACTACACACACCACACACAAAGCTCCCCCAGGTAGCCTCTAGCAGGGCTTGAGGGGCAAGTGCTGTTCGCTGAATGAGATGGGCGTGGTGGCTTGTGAATATTAATGAGATGGGCGTGGTAGCGCGTGAATATTAATGAGATGGGCGTGGTGGCTCGTGAATATGAATGAGATTGGCGTGGTGGCTCGTGAATATGAATGAGATGGGCGTGGTGGCTCGTGAATATTAACGAGATGGGCGTGGCGGCTCGTGAATATTAATGAGATGGGCGTGGTGTATTCATGAATATTAATTAGATGGGCGTGGTGGCTCGTGCATATTAATGAGATGGGCGGTGGCTCGTGAATATTGATGAGATGGGCGTGGTGTATTCATGAATATTAATGAGATGGGCGTGGTGTATTCATGAATATTAATGAGATGGGCGTGGTGTATTCATGAATATTAATGAGACTCATAAACAGAGGCGGAGTCAGAGACTTTATTCACTTGGGAGAGAGGGCGGTGAACACGACAGACGCCTGTAGCACGAACACAGTCAGTGAGTGTGTCAGTGTGTGTGTGTCAGTGTGTGTGTGTGTGTGTCAGTGTGTGTGTGTCAGTGTCAGTGTGTGTGTGTGAGTGTGTGTGTGTGTCAGTGAGTGTGTGTGTGTCAGTGAGTGTGTGTGTGTCAGTGTGTGTGTGTGTCAGCGTGCGTGTCAGCGTGCGTGTCAGTCTGTGTGTCAGCGTGTGTGTAGTAGTCGTGAGTACCGAGTGCCACGAGTAGCGGGTAGTGGTGGGTGGGTGTTGGTGGGTGGGTGTTAGTCGTGGTGGTGGGTGTTAGCAGTGGGTGGTAGTAGTGGTGGGTGGTAGTGGGCGGTGGGTGGTAGTAGCGGTGGGTGGTAGTGGGCGGTGGGTGGTAGTGGGTGGTGGGTGGTAGTGGGCGGTGGGTGGTAGTGGGCGGTGGGTACTAGTAGTGGTGGGTGGTAGTTGCGGTGGGTGGTAGTGGGTGGTAGTGGGCGGTGGGTACTAGTAGTGGTCGGTGGTAGTGGGTGGTGGTGGGTGGTGGGTGGTAGTGGGTGGTAGTGGGTGGTAGTGGGTGGTAGTGGGTGGTAGTGGGTGGTAGTAGTGGTGGGTGGTAGTGGGTGGTAGTAGTGGTGGGTGGTAGTGGGTGGTAGTAGCGGTGGGTACTAGTAGTGGGTGGTAGTGGGTGGTAGTAGCGGTGGTGTACTAGTGGGTGGTGGTGGGTGGTAGTGGGTGGTAGTGTGGGTGGTAGTGGGTGGTAGTGGGTGGTATGGTGGTAGTGGGCGCGACTATTCGTAGACCCAGTCGTGTGAGCAGCTCTTCCACGAGGTGACCTCTTCGGCTGTGAACCAAAGAGAAATCTCCTTCTCAGCGCTCGCCACAGAATCGCTGCCGTGGATGATGTTCCTGTGGTGGTGGGGGGGAGAGTGGTGGGGGGGGGGGGAGAGTGGTGGGGGGGAGTAGTGGTGGTGGGGGGGGAGAGTAGTGGGGGGGAGAGAGTGGGGGGGGGGGGGAGAGGAGATGAATCTCACACACAGTACACACAGACACAGACACACAACAACACAACAACAACAACCGCCATTCGCCACTAAGTGGCGGTGACGTCACCACGACGCTTGTGCCAGGCTATGTGCACCTTGAGGCTGCCACGTGAAGTGTCGAACGCCCGCTGGCAGGAGGTCACGGGGCAGCAGACCCAGCAGGTGCCACGGGTCGACTGACTGAGATGACTGCTGGCTGATGCACCACCTGTGCCCCCTACTGTGCCAACCCGTTGTGCTTTAGCCACCCGGCGCTCCGCTCGTTGTTGTGAGCGTCGCTCCTCCGCCCTCCGTTGTTGTTGGAGGGCGACTGCCTCCAACTGCCCAGTAGTAGCGTCCTTCACGAGCCTCCTCCTCCACAGAGGCCGATCTTGACACCGCTGGTACCGGTCATCGGCAAGTCCACTCAGCTCCACGTCCTCCTGTACCACATCACTCCATCTCTTCTCTAGCCCGTGCCGCGCCCGCTTAGCCCCCTCGATCCGGCCAAACAAAAGCTGTTTCGGCATGCGTTGGCTGGGCATGCGGGCTACATGACCCAGCCATCGCAGCCTTGCCCGCCGGAGGAGCTCACCGATGGGACCTTGCCCAGCTCTGTTGAGGATTTGTGAGCTCCTCACACAATCCAGCCTGGTTAAACCCAGGATGGATCGTAGGCAGGCCAGCCTAAATGTTTCTAACCGGCGAAGATGCTCCATTAGGGGGGTCCACGTTTCGCAAGCGTAGAGAAGGGAGGGAATGACCGTGGCCGAGAAGACCTGAAGCTTAGTGCGGAGCGACAGACCAGGTAGCTTCCACACAGCGTTACACAAACGATGAAAAGATATTGCCGCTCGACTGATTCGGAGTGAGACCTCTGCTGTTAAACTGGAGCCGATCATGAGCACACTGCCCAGGTATGGGAAACTCTCCACTCTCTCCACAACTGCCCCATCACCGATTGGGAGTTGTGGGGGTGGAGTGTCCGATGGTACAAAATACCCAGGCTGGTGCTTAGTTTTGGTGGGGCTGATGGTAAGGCCCCATCTCTTAGTGGCACGCTCCAGTCTCAGCAGCAGCAGCGTCTCCAACTCTTCCTCTGACTGAGCAGCTATTACCAAATCGACAATTTTTCGGTCCTAGTTTAGTGGTAGGTTATTGAAGGTGGAGGGGTTACCAGCGCCTCACATCCATCCAGAGCCCACATTCAGCCGCTGTGGTGGTCACAGATGCCATGAGGGGAGAGGAGCCAATCGGAATTGGCCTTCCCCCCACAGCACTGTCCACGACAGAGTTGCCCGTCCGGCACCGCGAGGAGGTAGGGGGTTGTTTTACCGCTCTCCCTCTCCCCGCGTCTCCCTCTACCGCTCCCTCTCTCCCCGCGTCTCCCTCTACCGCTCCCTCTCTCCCCGCGTCTCCCTCTACCGCTCCCTCTCTCCCCGCGTCTCCCTCTACCGCTCCCTCCCTCCCCGCGTCTCCCTCTACCGCTCCCTCCCTCCCCGCGTCTCCCTCTACCGCTCCCTCCCCGCGTCTCCCTATCCCTCCCCGCGTCTCCCTATCCCTCCCCGCGTCTCCCTATCCCTCCCCGCGTCTCCCTATCCCTCCCCGCGTCTCCCTATCCCTCCCCGCGTCTCCCTATCCCTCCCCGCGTCTCCCTATCCCTCCCCGCGTCTCCCTATCCCTCCCCGCGTCTCCCTATCCCTCCCCGCGTCTCCCTATCCCTCCCCGCGTCTCCCTATCCCTCCCCGCGTCTCCCTATCCCTCCCCGCGTCTCCCTATCCCTCCCCGCGTCTCCCTATCCCTCCCCGCGTCTCCCTATCCCTCCCCGCGTCTCCCTATCCCTCCCCGCGTCTCCCTATCCCTCCCCGCGTCTCCCTATCCCTCCCCGCGTCTCCCTATCCCTCCCCGCGTCTCCCTATCCCTCCCCGCGTCTCCCTATCCCTCCCCGCGTCTCCCTATCCCTCCCCGCGTCTCCCTATCCCTCCCCGCGTCTCCCTCTCTCCCCGCGTCTCCCTCTCTCCCCGCGTCTCCCTCTCTCCCGCGTCTCCCTCTCTCCCCGCGTCTCCCTCTCTCCCCGCGTCTCCCTCTCTCCCCCGCGTCTCCCTCTCTCCCCGCGTCTCCCTCTCTCCCCGCGTCTCCCTCTCTCCCCGTGTCTCTCTCTCCCCGTGTCTCCCTCTCTCCCCGTGTCTCCCTCTCTCCCCGTGTCTCTCTCTCTCCCCGTGTCTCTCTCTCCCCGTGTCTCTCTCTCCCCGTGTCTCTCTCTCTCCCCGTGTCTCTCTCTCTCCCCGTGTCTCTCTCTCTCCCCGTGTCTCTCTCTCTCCCCGTGTCTCTCTCTCTCCCCGTGTCTCTCTCTCTCCCCGTGTCTCTCTCTCTCCCCGTGTCTCTCTCTCTCCCCGTGTCTCTCTCTCTCTCCCCGTGTCTCTCTCTCTCCCCGTGTCTCTCTCTCTCCCCGTGTCTCTCTCTCCCCCCGTGTCTCCCTCTCCCCCCGTGTCTCCCTCTCCCCCCGTGTCTCTCTCTCCCCCCGTGTCCTCTCTCTCTCCCCGTGTCTCTCTCTCTCCCCGTGTCTCTCTCTCTCCCCGTGTCTCTCTCTCTCCCCGTGTCTCTCTCTCTCCCCGTGTCTCCCTCTCCCCCCGTGTCTCCCTCTCCCCCCGTGTCTCCCTCTCCCCCCGTGTCTCCCTCTCCCCCCGTGTCTCCCTCTCCCCCCGTGTCTCCCTCTCTCCCCGTCTCTCCCTCTCTCCCTCTCCCCGTGTCTCTCCCTCTCCCCGTGTCTCTCTCTCCCCGTGTCTCTCTCTCCCCGTGTCTCTCTCTCTCCCCGTGTCTCTCTCTCTCCCCGTGTCTCTCTCTCTCCCCGTGTCTCTCTCTCCCCGTGTCTCTCTCTCCCCGTGTCTCTCTCTCCCCGTGTCTCTCTCTCCCCGTGTCTCTCTCTCCCCGTGTCTCTCTCTCCCCGTGTCTCTCTCTCCCCGTGTCTCTCTCTCCCGTGTCTCTCTCTCCCCGTGTCTCTCTCTCCCCGTGTCTCTCTCTCTCCCCGTGTCTCCCTCTCTCTCTCCCCGTGTCTCCCTCTCTCTCTCCCCGTGTCTCCCTCTCTCTCTCCCCGTGTCTCCCTCTCTCTCTCCCCGTGTCTCCCTCTCTCTCTCCCCGTGTCTCCCTCTCTCTCTCCCCGTGTCTCCCTCTCTCTCCCCGTGTCTCTCTCTCTCCCCGTGTCTCTCTCTCTCTCCCCCGTGTCTCTCTCTCTCTCTCCCCGTGTCTCTCTCTCTCTCTCCCCGTGTCTCTCTCTCTCTCTCCCCGTGTCTCTCTCTCTCTCTCCCCGTGTCTCTCTCTCTCTCTCCCCGTGTCTCTCTCTCTCTCTCCCCGTGTCTCTCTCTCTCTCTCCCCGTGTCTCTCTCTCTCTCTCCCCGTGTCTCTCTCTCTCTCTCCCCGTGTCTCTCTCCCTCTCTCCCCGTGTCTCTCTCCCTCTCTCCCCGTGTCTCTCTCCCTCTCTCCCCGTGTCTCTCTCCCTCTCTCCCCGTGTCTCTCTCCCTCTCTCCCCGTGTCTCTCTCCCTCTCTCCCCGTGTCTCTCTCCCTCTCTCCCCGTGTCTCTCTCCCTCTCTCCCCCGTGTCTCTCTCCCTCTCTCCCCGTGTCTCTCTCCCTCTCTCCCCGTGTCTCTCTCCCTCTCTCCCCGTGTCTCTCTCCCTCTCTCCCCGTGTCTCTCTCCCTCTCTCCCCGTGTCTCTCTCCCTCTCTCCCCGTGTCTCTCTCCCTCTCTCCCCGTGTCTCTCTCCCTCTCTCCCCGTGTCTCTCTCCCTCTCTCCCCGTGTCTCTCTCCCTCTCTCCCCGTGTCTCTCTCCCTCTCTCCCCGTGTCTCTCTCCCTCTCTCCCCGTGTCTCTCTCCCTCTCTCCCCGTGTCTCTCTCCCTCTCTCCCCGTGTCTCTCTCCCTCTCTCCCCGTGTCTCTCTCCCTCTCTCCCCGTGTCTCTCTCCCTCTCTCCCCGTGTCTCTCTCCCTCTCTCCCCGTGTCTCTCTCCCTCTCTCCCCGTGTCTCTCTCCCTCTCTCCCCGTGTCTCTCTCCCTCTCTCCCCGTGTCTCTCTCCCTCTCTCCCCGTGTCTCTCTCCCTCTCTCCCCGTGTCTCTCTCCCTCTCTCCCCGTGTCTCTCTCCCTCTCTCCCCGTGTCTCTCTCCCTCTCTCCCCGTGTCTCTCTCCCTCTCTCCCCGTGTCTCTCTCCCTCTCTCCCCGTGTCTCTCTCCCTCTCTCCCCGTGTCTCTCTCCCTCTCTCCCCGTGTCTCTCTCCCTCTCTCCCCGTGTCTCTCTCCCTCTCTCCCCGTGTCTCTCTCCCTCTCTCCCCGTGTCTCTCTCCCTCTCTCCCCGTGTCTCTCTCCCTCTCTCCCCGTGTCTCTCTCCCTCTCTCCCCGTGTCTCCTCTCCCTCTCTCCCCGTGTCTCTCTCCCTCTCTCCCCGTGTCTCTCTCCCTCTCTCCCCGTGTCTCTCTCCCTCTCTCCCCGTGTCTCTCTCCCTCTCTCCCCGTGTCTCTCTCCCCCTCTCCCCGTGTCTCTCTCCCCCTCTCCCCGTGTCTCTCTCCCCCTCTCCCCGTGTCTCTCTCCCCCTCTCCCCGTGTCTCTCTCCCCCTCTCCCCGTGTCTCTCTCCCCCTCTCCCCGTGTCTCTCTCCCCCTCTCCCCGTGTCTCTCTCTCCCCTCTCTCCCCTCTCCCCGTGTCTCTCTCCCCCTCTCCCCGTGTCTCTCTCCCCCTCTCCCCGTGTCTCTCTCCCCCTCTCCCCGTGTCTCTCTCCCCCTCTCCCCGTGTCTCTCTCCCCCTCTCCCCGTGTCTCTCTCCCCCTCTCCCCGTGTCTCTCTCCCCCTCTCCCCGTGTCTCTCTCCCCCTCTCCCCGTGTCTCTCTCCCCCTCTCCCCGTGT